TCCCTCCCTCTTTCTCCCTCGGCTCCTCCACTCCCCATCAACAAAAGCAAAGAGCTGTTTTTTTGTATCGAGCATTAGCAACGAAGACATTGGCGGGGGACAGTTCAACTCTGGTTGCCAACCAAGGTACACAATTGCTGCTTGCCTTCATGGATGGTATGCTGGGGGCTTGAAATGCACACTGTAATTCCCATCCACTGGTGGGGAGCGGGGGAGAGGAAGAAGGAGAAGAAGCGTGGCGGGGCGAGACGAAAAAAGGAGCCGACAGGAAGCCGCCTCCCCGCCTCACGGGTCTCCTTACCGGCACGTCTTCCAGCGAGTGAGGTATCGAGTGAATGGGAATGTCTCCTAGTCCTGAGCTCAAGCCGTGAGGTCCGTGCAAGAGATCTTCATGCCGCCGGTAATCCCTTCGGGGATCCAAACCGGAGAGCTGGTGGGGAAGTCCGCGGTGCGTATGCAAAAGCCCCGTGTCCTGGTTTTGCCTCTGTCCCGGCCAGCCCGGGTGCTGGGGCTGAGGCTGGGCGTGAAGAGGGTTCAAGCTATACGGATCGTTAACGTGGGAATACGGGTCTTGAGACTGCGGGTAAATGGGCTGATATGGAGGTGGGAAATAGGGGGGCTGAAAGTCAGCGTTCGGTGTATGTGAGAGCGGAGGTGCGCTGGTGTAGGGGGACTGACCCACAGTCCCCAGCTGGGGTAGCCGGGCTGTCCCGTTGCTGGTAGCATCGTGGCGGTCCTGATGAATAAGAACACGAGAAAGGGGACAGGGAGACCAGAGACAGAGAAAGAGAAGGAGGAGGAGACGGTCAAAATCAAACTGTGGGATAGGCCAAATGCTTATCACCCCGTAGAACTATGAGATACAATATATGCGCTCAAAGAAGACGCAGAAGCAGCCTTCTAGATATTCCCGTCTGGCAGAAATCAACATCATCTAAATGGAGCTGCGCAAATTATAGTTAACAACGGAAGAAAAAGCTCCAGTGAAAAAATGAACAAAATGCTCATACGGAGAGCAGATCCAGAAGATTTTCTTTCGAGAGGAATGGTGTGTATTCTGTATGTGTGCTTGTATGTGGGTGTGTGTAACCTTTGTTTTTAAAAAGCCTACGGGCACCATTGTCAAAAAGAAGTGAGCAAACAAATACTCTTTCCTTGCTCTAAAAAAGTGAAAGTGTATCATTGCTGCTTTAGTCCTCCTTTTCCCCGGAAAATGTCACCAAAAATGCCATTAAAAAGATCAGTGTTTGGGGAAAAAATACTTAAATGTAAGTATTCTGGTAAGCCAGCATTTACAAATCTAACAAGGGGGGAGGAACCAAAATGGACAATGTGCTATTTCACTGATTAAAATTAAATCATAATATAATACAAGACACATAACAGGTATCGTATGTATGTGCACGTGTAAATGTACACACACATACACACATCCATACGTGTGTACATGCAAATTATATTTTACGTAAATAACAAGACAGCAAAATTAAGAGAAACAATTTGGAAACATAAAGATAAAGCCAGAGGAGGAAAACGCAAAAGGTTTAGCTTCTGTACAACTGGGACTTGGTAAATTATGAAATTATAGCCCGCAGGTACGTCTCAAGGAAATTAACAGCCATCCAAATGGAAGTTGGGGGGGGGGATTAGTGGGGAATAAGAAAGGTGCCGTTAAATGCCTTGGACTTTAGTCTCCCGAGGAGCGTTATTAACCCGGGAAAGGACAAGAGCGGAAAGAAGAGGTGAAACCCAATCGGAAGGGGAGGGGAAACGCAAAGCAAAACAAAACACAATGGACGGGTGTGGAAGCATGGCTAGCCTTTTGTAGTTTACTTGAAGCAGCCAAAGTAATGAATAAGAAGCTTTTTCAAACAAGGAGAGGGAGACCCAGAGGAGAGGGTTTGGCAGGATGTGACACCCCGCCAGCCGACCACCCCCACCCTGAAGACGAGGAAAAGCATGATGGTGACAAGGTTCCCACCACCCATCCCAGATAGAGAAGTCTAAAGCCACTCACCATCGCTGAGAAACTGTGAACTAACATCTGCGCGGATTCGGGGGGACCAAGTCAGGGCAGGAAAAAAGGCAGAGAAAAGTGTGCTCTTTAGGTCTCGCTCGCTCGCCCTCTTCCTAGCTGTGCTCTTGCTCTGTCCCTCTCTCTCTTTCTCCTTCTTGCACACAAGCGCTCTCTCTCACACACACAATGGAAGAAGCCCGGGTTTAGACCACCCCGAGTCCCCAACGCCCAGGCTTGTCCGCAAGCACTGGGCAAGCGCGCCTATAATCCATCAGTCCACAACCGAATGCCCGACGTTCTGCAGCAGCGGAGGCGAGAGCCGGATCCTGGCGTGAGAGTTCACGATTCAAAGTTGAGTCGGTGTGCGCGCGCGTGTGTGTTCCTTAATCCGTTTGCGGGTGGTGTGCATGTGTGCGTGTGTGTGCGTTGGTCCCCACCTCTCTCTCTCTCTCTCTCTCTCCCTCCTTTTACTGCCGCACGTGAGTTCCTAAATGAGAGAGAGAGGGAGAGAGAGAGAGAGAGAGGGAGAGGAATCTGCAGCTTGCTTTCCTTAAGACTCCTAATAGCAGATATTCATGACTATTAATATTACACGAATACTTAATAAGGGAAGAATGGCTGGAAATCGAGCGTGAAGCGAGGAAGCAACTCAAGGCAGAGGCTGTTCTAAATGACGTCCATTGAATGAAGAAGCAGTGTATCTAATCAGAGGTGGGGGGGGAGCGGGAGAGAGACAAAAAGGGAAGCGGGGGGGGGGAGGCATGCCGTGGCTGCGC